GAGCCACAAAGATGACACATGGCCTTGGAGGGGCTCACACCTTTGCATGCTTTCGGCCCTGTTGTTCATGATGTCACAGGAGTAGAGACTGTAGGAGTAGAGACTGAACTCATGCCTTCAGTCCCAGCTACTTGGGAGGCTGAGACAGGAGAATTACTTGAGCCCAGGATGAAAATCAGGGAATTGAGTGGTTTGTGGGCCCGCTTCACACAAGCAGTGACATTTGAGCCGAATCTTGACGGTTGAGGAAGAGTTGGTGACAAGTGGAGCTTGAGGGTGTTGTGGGGACAGCTGGGGGTGGGCTGGCTTCAGGCAGAGCGGGTGCGAATGCAAGGACAAGCAGGTGGCTGTCTTCACAGCCAACAGTCGGCTCTGCTTGAACTGGGATCTCGGCCAAGTGCAGCCAGGCTGTCCTGATGCCGCGAGGCTGGGGGGGGGGGGCTGAGGGACACAGGCACACACTGCGGCAAGTAGCAGTCTCCAAAATACTCAGGGTTTCCACTGTCTGGTGGCCCCTCCCCAAACCTCTCCCAAACCCACTGGGAAGTTTCTCAACCCAAGCAACACTCTAGTGTTGAACATTTTCTTCTTTCCTTTGTTTCTGCTTTGAGCAGATTCCTCTCTTGGCACGTTGACAGTCCTCGTGTGATCTGCCTCCTGGCACGCACCGTCCAAGCTTGGCAGCCCAGGATTGAGGTCTGTTTCTCACTCTCTCAGCCCTGGGGCTGAGTTGGCAGGGGCCACTGCACTGGAGGGAGTGCCTGGTTCCTTCCCTGTCTTTGCCCAGAGCAATTGGACACATTACCACAACTTTTGGTCAGGGTCAGAAGTGGACATGCAAAGTAAAGTGGTGTAAATATACATTTTCAGGAATGAAATGTCCTGAGCACCGTGTATGGAGCCTCTTTTCTTGTTGCCTGTCTGCAAAAGTGAACTACATTGACAGACCTCTCAAGACCTTCCCATTCAAATTCTTCCCTTCTTCATCTGGCATTTTTACTTTAAATAGCAAAGTCTCATTTGTAACCATGATTTTATTTCATTTTTTTTTAGCACTGGGGGTTGAACCCAGGGGTGCTGTACCACTGGACTACATCCCCAGCCCTTTATAACAGGGTCTACTTACTGAGATTGACCTTGAACTTATAGTGCTCCTGCCTCGTCTCTGAATGGCTGGGATTACAAGCATGTGACACTTTGCCCAGATATAACCATGATCTTTATGTGTACTTTTGAGAGTAAAATAGAAACATGCATTTCAAAATATAAGATGAAATATAATATACTGTATGTGATGATGTGTTTGTGTGTTTATGTAAGAGAGAGGAAAATTTTGTTATTTAAGAACCTAGAGGGGCTGGGGTGATGGCTCAGTGGTAGAGCGCTTGCCTCGCACGTGCAAGGTCCTGGGTTCGATTCTCAGCACTACATAAAAATAAATAAATAAAATAAAGTTATAGTGTACAACTACAAAAAAATTTTTATTTAAACTAAGAAGCACCTACATAATTAACTTTTGTAAAAGAGAAAAAATTACTAGTTTGATCTCTGAACAAAATAAATATTTTCAATAATTCAAACTATAAACTCTCTTCTGACTCCTCGAAAGAGCACAGGACTTATTCAGGGAGGAACAGGAGTTTGATGAAGCTGGGGATCTATAATGTTTGGGCAAAAGGCGAGTCAGGCAGGGTGGGCACAGGGTGGGCAGGACTATGTTAAGAGGGAGGGCTTGTGGATGCAGGAATGATACCTGGACAGCAGCGCCTTTGAGAAGGGTCCTGGTTGATTTGTTATCTTGGCTGTTGTCACTCGTGCTTCAGTAGACATGGGAGTGTAGGTGTCTCTTTGAAATACTTATTTCCTTTGGGAATATACCTAATTCTGAAGTTGCTGGGCATATTGTAGATCTATTTTTAACTTTCTGAGGAACCTCCATACTGTTCTCCATATGGCTGTACTAATTTACATTCCCACCAACAAGAGAGTTCCCTTTTCTCCTCATCCTCGTTAGCATTTATTTTTTGTCTTTTTTGATAGTAGCTATTTTATTTATTTTTGTGGTATGGGGATTGAACCCAGGGCCTTGTGCATGCTAGACAAGCACTCTACCATGGAACTACATCCCCAGCCCTTTTTAAAAATTTACTTTGAGATGATGGTTCACTAATTTTTCAAGACCAGCCTTGAACTTGTGATCCTCTTGCTTGAGCCTCCCGAGTAGCTGGGATTACGGGCATGTGCTACAGGATGAGGCAATGGCCTTGTTAACTGGAGCGAGGTGATATCTCTTTGTGGTTTTGATTTGCATTTCCCCTGGTGATTAGTGGTATGAATATTTTTTCATATACCTGTTGAGAAATGTCTATCCAGGTATTTTGCCCATATCTTTAAAGCATTTTTTTTAGTTGTCAATGGACCTTTATTTTATTTATATGTGGTGCTGAGAATCGAACCCAGGGACTCACACATGCTAGGCAAGCGCTCCACCACTGAACCACAACCCCAGCCCATTTTGCCTGTTTTTTAGTTGGATTATTTGTTTTTGGAGCTGTTGGAATTCCAATTGCCCATCAGTGGAAGAATGGATAAATTAAATGTGGCACGTGTACACCATGGAGTATTTACTACTCAGTATTTGGAATAGCATTTCGGTAAATGAAATTCTGTCATTGAGGATAACATGAAAGGCATATGTGATATGAAATATATCAGACACAGAAAGATAAATACTGTATGATCTAACTCATGTCTCATTTGTAACCATGATTTTACTTATTTCATTTTTTGTAGCTCTGGAGATTGAACCCAGAGGTTCTGGGTATAGGTGTCTCTTTGAAAATACTTATTTCCTTTGGGAATACTCCTAATTATGAAGTTGCCAATCTCATAAAAGTAAAGATTAGAATAATGGTTACAGAGGGTCAGGAGGGGTCAGGAAGCAAGGTGTGCTTGCCTTTGGCAACCTCAGCAACAACAACAAGGTGCTAAGCAATTCAAAGTTACAGTTAGGAGGAATAATTTCTGGTTCTAGCTGGGAGCCCTGTTCTACACCTGTAATCCCAGCAACTCAGGAGGCTAAAACAGGAAGATCACAAGTTTGAGGCCAGCCTCAGCAACATATCTATCTTGAAATAATAAATGAACAGGACTAGGGTGTAGACCATCCCTGGGTTCAAGCCCCAGTACAAAAAACCAAAACAAAACAAAAAACAACAAATCATAAACCTTCACAAGCTCCCTGTCTCAAAAAAAAAAAAAAAAAAAAGTAACAATTTTAGGCCCAGCAAAACGGTGCATAACTGTAATCTCAACGGCTCAGGATGCTGAGGCAGGAGGATTGCAAGTTCAAAGTCAGCCTCAGCAACAACAAGGTGCTAAGCAATTCAGTGAGATCCTGTCTCTAAATAAAGTACAAAAAAGGGCTGGGATCGAGTGCCCCTGAGTTCAATCCCCAGTACCTCCCTCCCTGCAAAAAAGTAAAAAGGACTGGGGATGGAGTTCAGTGTTAAAACACTCCTGGGTTCTGGTGTTCTGTTGCACAGTAGGGCAACTATAGTTATTAATATTATTTTTTTGTATTTCAAAATAAGAGAAGATTTTAAGTCTTTCACCACAAAGATATGATAAATGTTCAAGTTGATGGATATGCTAATAACCCTGATTTGATTATTATACATTGTATATGTATATTGAAACATCGCATTGTACCTCATAAATCTGAATAGTTACTGTGTGTCAATTAAAACTATAATAAAACTTAGAAGAAAAAAAAAAAGAATTAGAAGGGTCTCTGGGCCTTCACAAGCACGGGATGGAAGGAATTAGGATCAGGCAAAGAAGTCTGGACAGGACCCCATGATGGGTGATGGGGCCTGGAGAGAGGGAAGAAAGAGACCCAAGTGACAGTGGAAGAAGGGTCAGCTGGACTTGGCACCTGGGGAGCAAAAACAGAAGAGATGGTTTGAGGATGTTGCCTAGGCGTGTTGCCTGGGCAACCAGAGAAACAGTGGTACCCATCCCTTGCTGAGGCCCGGAAAGAGGCAGGCTCACACTGCTCTGCTGACTTTGGTGACTCTCTCGCCCTGTCTCCCTGTGTCTGGCCTATCCACCCTCCGCTCCTCCTTGCAGGACACCAACCTGCCCTTCGGGCCTCATCCCCAGCTCTCCTCAAACCACACGCACCCCCACGTCGCCCCGCGGAACATCTTTTTTGTCAACATTTTTTCTAAATGTCAAAATCTCAGATGTTTATTGTACAAAACTTGGAAAATACAGAGAGGTATAAACAAAATCAAAATCACACTCATCACTTTATAGACAAGCATAGCAAACATTTGGCAAGATTCTGTTTTCTTTTTTCTATAAATGTATATATGTCTTTTGATTTTTTTATTTCTAGTGTAGCAACATCCAAATCATGACAGATTTTTGGTTCTGCTTTTGTTTTGCAGTAAAAATGTGCTCTGCCTTTGGCAACACTCAGTGCCATTAAATAGTGTGCGTGTGTGTATATATGTACATATAGTTTAGTTGTAGGTGGACATAATACCTTTATTGTATTTATTTATTTTTATGTGGTATTGAGGATCGACCCCAGGGCATCACACATGCGAGGCAAGTACTCTACTGCTGAGCCACAACCCCAGCACTCCCAGCCTTTTTAAGTGCTGTACCACTGAGCTACAACCCCAGCCCCGTATAGCTTTGAAAAACATGGTTTCGGGTGACTATCACAATTATCATGAAGTTATAACTATTTTCATAATTGATACATTTGAACCTACCACCATATTTTTATATTTCATTATTTCTCTCAGTCTTTTTTTATTTCTCCTCTAGAAAACTGAAAGGCAGCTGGGTACCATGGTGCACACCTGTAATCCCAGTGACTCAGGAGGCTGAGGTAGGAGGATCACAAATTAGAGGCCAGCCTCAACAACTTAGTGAGATCTGCCTCAAAAGAAAATGGGCTGGGGATGTAGCTCTGTGGTAAAGCATCCCTAGGTTCAGTCCTCATTATATATAAAAAAAAAAAAATTGAAATGCCTCTATGTTTTTGCCTAACATATTGATTGTGCTCTTGCTTTCCCCTCTGCAAAAAAAAAAAAAAAAATGTCCTTCCTTTTTCCAGCCTGGCAAATCCTTCCTATCCTTCATCATCTCTGAGGGGTCACCTATTTCATACCTGCCAAGCACAGTAGCCACTAGGAATGTGACATAGACTCTGGGACAGACTCTGCAGCCTCCCAACCTTCCCTCAGGAGTGAGCAAGCCATGTGTCATTTTTTCCTTTAATGCGCTCATGAAATGAGTAACTTGCTTGTGTTTGGGCCTCTATTTTAACCCTCAGAACACCTTGAGATTTTCTAGACTGTGAAATTACTGTTGGGTGCTTTCCCACTCTGCCCCTGCTCTCTTCAGGATTTGCCCAGGACCTGAAAACCACGGCTCAGAAGATGACAGTATCTTTCCCATGAGAGGGAGGTGGAGCGGATGACCTCTCCATCTGGGTGACCGTGTCTTCTAAATCTGAAATTGGGGCACTTGGTTTGACGAATCTAAGATAGCAGTTGCTATACCCCTAAGGGGCTTTGGCAACTCCCTTCTGCCATTCTGGGGCTGCAGTTAGTCCAAACAGCAACCTTGGATAAAATAGGAAAAAGTGTCCAGTGTGGCCCCCGGGTGCCCAGTCTGGCTGCCAAAGGACACGTTTCCATGCCAGCTTAGCCCTTCCCCATGGGCCAGGACTAGAAGCAATGGCCCAGCCTAAACAATAGCTAGATGCTGCCACCACTCTTCCTTCCCTCTGCCCTCCCCTCCCCTCTGGGCCACAGGGGTGGTCACACTCACATGGCTCCCACATCTCTTTTTTTAATAGGTCAGTCTGTCTGCTTTCAAACAACTGCACTCTGACTCAACAACTTCCTCTTTGCAAATTTCCTCTTGGCTCTGGGGAAACAGCACAACCACCTTTGGCCCCTTTGGGCTGGGGCAGGGGCGGCTCTCAGGGGCAGCACAGCTGTGAGGTTTGTCCCCTCCTGTCTACCCCAGATCCACAGGGGAAGTCCCTGGCACTCCCCTCCCTGGGCACCCCCTCTCCTTATTTGACTCCCTCTCATTGATTCTCCTGGGAGAAGGGAAGAAGCTGAGCCCTGGAAGAGGACGTGGGGACAGCAAATTAAACAGACAACAGCAGGGACCAGTCCCCCTCACTTCCAGGCAGACGCCTCTCCACAGCCTCTGCGTGTGTGTGTGTGTGTGTGTGTGTGTGTGTGTGTGTGTGTGTGTGTGTTGGAAATGGTGGCCGAGCTGAAGGAACAGACTTGGTAACACATTTGGTCTTTTTATCAAGTTGGCAAAATTGGCATTTTTTTTGGGGGGGGGCAACAGAGAGAGTCAGATTTTCTGCTGGGTGCACCCCGTCTGAACCAAGACAAGAGCACATATATTCTGAGCAGTCCTGGGTCCCCCGCCCTGGGTTTGGCATCTCCTTAGTCTCTGCCCACTTTCTGTCCCATCCCTCCCACTGCACTTACTGCCACCCTCCATAAACACCGTGGAATCCTCACCTCTGGCACAAATGGCACCTTGAGTGGACCCCGGCAGGTGTGGGGTCTCTGAGAACTATTCGAGGCCAGAAAGTCTTTTCACCTTTGTCCATGGAAGACGAAATAATGAAGTCACTGGCCGCTTCAGTCCATAAGTCGGGGACAGGGTCATGGCTTGGGCTATGGGCCAGCCCAGAGTCCAGTGCTCTGGGAAATGTCACAGAGGACACAGCTGGATAGCCCTGCCCAGTCCCAGAGTGAATGCAGGTCCTGGGCTGGCCCAGCAGGACCGTCCTACTTGAGGGACTTGGGTCATCTACAAAGTTTAATCCTAAGGAATTTGGGGGATTGTCATTTCCTTGTCCAATGTCCTCAAGAGAGATCCTTTGAGAAATCAAGTGAAGGTTGGCATCATGGAGACTCAGCAGCTGGTTCCAAGAACAGAAAATAATGGGGAAGCGGTGGGGAAGCGGAGGTCAATGAGAAGGCTGAGTCTTTCCGTTCACAAACATTCTATTCTGCAGGTGCGCCCCGGCCCAGGTGACAGATGTGGCACTGGGTAACAATGCTGGCGGGAGGCTCGGGGTTGAGAAGGTAGGTGCAATTCTGAGTCAAGACGCTGGGCAAGAACCCAGAGGGTGCTGAGTGAGTGTGCTGGGTGAGGAAGGGGTTGGAAGCGATGCTAAGGGAGGAGGGGATGGCAGATGGCAGGGACCCTCAGAATTGCATTATTTACAAACTTGATCGTGCAGCCCCATCCCCCACTTCTGGCCCATTGGAAGTGGGGGCTTCCACCGCCTCATCCTCACTGCCCACCAGTGGCTCCTCTTCCCCCTTTGTGTTGGAACCTGACCCAGACTTTAGTTCCTCCAGCACCAAGGAGCCCTGGCGAGACTTCCGTCTGCTGAAGAAAGTGGTGAGCAAGGGCCGCTGGCCAGACGCCTCCGTCTCAAGGACCCTAGAGTCTTTGTTGCCCCCAGCCCCTCCCCCTGGAGTGGTTGTGGCCTCCTCATCAGGGACCCTGGCTGGCCCAGCCCAGGCATCCACCACTCCATTGCGCTTTCCACCTGTGTTCAGCATCAGGACCCCGGTTCGCCTCTTCTGTCGCCGGCGCCACAGCAGGAGCAGGGCCAGGAAGACTATGGCCACCAGCAGGGCCACAAGCACAGGTACCAGCAGCATGCTATTCGACCCTGATTTTTGTGGGGAGCTTGTGCTTATGCTTATAGAGGACTGGGAGGTAGTAGATGCAGAGGTTTTTATGCTAGTCACTGGGGGTCCTTTGGTCACAGTGGAGGTCCCCAGAGAGCTGGTTGTCATGGTGACAGAGTGTCCCTTGGTTTCATTGGAAGGTTCCAGAGAGATAGTTGCCATGGTGACAGGGAGTCCACTGGTCTCATTGGAGGGTTCCAGAGAGCTGCTTGTCATGGTGACAGGGGGTCCACTGGTCTCATTGGAAGGTTCCAGAGAGCTAGTTGCTATGGTGACAGGGGGTCCGCTGGTTTCTTTGGAGGTCTCCAGAGAACTAGTTGTCATGACGACAGGGAGCTTATTAGTCACATTGGAGGTGTCCAGAGAGTCAAATGTCATGTTTTCACGTGTCACAGTGGGGTTTCCCGAAGACTTCACTGCGTCAGTGACCGAAGGGTCACTAGTTGCATTAGAGGTTTGGGGGAGTACTGATGACTTCTCAGTGGACACTTCCTGGGATGGTGTTGGCTCAGGTACAGGGGGCCCAGTGCTGGCGTCAGTGAAAGTCTGAGGGTGGGTCACGTCACTGGTTGTAAAGGTAGTTGAGGAGGGTGGGTTTGAGACCAGGCTTCCAGCGCTATGGGCCTCCTTAGGGTCACTTGTTATTGGCATGGCGGAGATATTTGATTTGAAGCTCTGGGTACCTGCGACTTCAAAGGTACCTGCGACTGGAGAAGCAGAGGATCGTCTTGTGGCATGCGTCATGTTCACCAGAGACTCTTTGCTCACCACCTGGACCCAGAAGCCCCCAAAGAGAAGGAGAAGCAGCGCCATTTCCAGAGCGACAGGCATGCACAGGAGTTGAGACCTGCGGGTGGGGAAGTTGGAGAAACAAAACACTCAGGGGCTAGGGGAAGGACCTAGCCAAGCCCTCCCCCCTGCCCACTTCCCTGCCAACTGCCAGCCCAACTTGTGGTTTAACGACTTTTCCACCCTCGCTTTTACTATTATCAAAAATAACAAGGGAATGTGCTGGCGGCTCCCCTATCACCCCCACCATATGCACCCCACACCCCAAGCCTTGGCAACTGAGACTCCGGCAGTGACCATGCCCTCTGGGTCTCTCCTTATTCTATGTAGCCCAGTGCTCCAGATTCTCTCTTCCCACCACCTGTCAGGATCTTTTTAAGCCATATGCACACTGCCAGGTCTTCTGAGGCCTCTGCCTACCCCAGGTCACACACTCTTACCAGTTCAATTTGATAAGGTGCAGGGCTGGCGCCAGCCACTCCAACTCCTCCTAAGGTTCAGGCAGGACTGGGGCAGACTGGGCCCCAAGGGGAAAGGAAGTGGGCTCTGGCTCCACCCACCCCACCCCTGCATCCTGCCCCACCCACTCCTGCTCCCATCACCACCTTGGTACTGGAGGACTTGGGGGCTCAGCAGAGGGAGGAGAGGGTGTGGGTTTTCCGGAATGGGAATTTGGGTCTTAATTGGGTACAGAATGGCAAAGGGTGAGAGCTGGCATAAGAAGGTGCATCTAGAGGGTGCAGAGGGGGAGATGGGAGGGGAGGGTGGTTTCCTTTACATCTGTGGTCCCCCAAGCTGTTAGGTCAGGACCCAGGGTGGTGCATTTCCTGTCCCCAAGAGCTCCCAGGAAGTAGCAGGGTCAGGGGAAGCCCCAGACTCTGACTGGGGGCCCTGAAATCCTTTGCAGGCTGATAAGTTCTTGACCACACCAGAAGGAATTAAGGGTCACCACAGCAGCCCCCATTAGGACATGCTTAACTAAACCAAGGCCCTTACTAAACATTTCCTACACCATGATCTTATTTTTGTATGCTACTAGTAAAGATGTGGGGATCTATATGGAAAATGGTCTGGAAATATATCTACTGAGGGGTTAGCCCAATTGTACTTGGCTGGGTGAGAGCAGGGATTCTCTCCTCCAGCCCACCCAAGGTGCTGGGGATGAAATCCAAGGCCTCGAAGGTACTGTGCAGGGGCTTTACCACTGAGCTATACCACCAGCCCCAAGTAAAGAACTGTGTAATTTTTTTTTTTTCCTTTGGACATTTGTTTCCTGACTTTCCTCTAATTGAGAAGCTTAAACTTTTTGGTATGTGTCGTTTTGGGGTTTTGCCTTTAAAAACTGATTTTGATATTGTAAAAGCAACACTTGTGCATAATAAATTAGAACAGGTCCCAGCAAAGTCAGGGAGTATACCCTAGTTCCAAGCTGATGAGTTAATCTGACCCAGAGACATGAGACTCTTGGGTCAGAGACTTAGGAATTCATTACTCACAGAATAGCAAGAAAAATGAGCATTAGGTTTATATCAATGCCGGGAGTCCCCGGGGGGAGGTGACACAGAAGGGTCCATTTTGTGGGGGGGGGGAGGGGGGCGGGAGGATTGAATCCAGGGCTTTGTGCATGCTAGGCAAGCCACTCTACCAACTGAGCTATTTCCCCAGCCCAGAAGGGTCCACATTTCCACTGTGTACACAGTAGGCCGACATGGCAACCAAGGAACCCTGACCTTGAGACAGGGTATTGCCTCTTTTAGAGCCAACCTACTGCATGTCTTGAAGGGAGACACAGTTTCATCCCTGAGTTGCCCACCACAATACAATGCTGAAAACGACTTGGGTATGGAATGATCAGGGCCTTGCATCTTTGGTATACCAATAAGAATGTGCAGGGATGCTCAGGGACTGTGATGTGGCTGATGGCTTCTCCCACCAGTCAGCAGAGTATCAAATGAAAATGAAAAGGTTCACACCCACCCCCAGATAAATATTTCTTACAGTGTGTTTATACAAGCATATATTTGTGTATTTTGTTATATACTGTTCTGAACTTTTGTTTTTGTTTTTGTTATTGAAAAATATTTTGGCAATTTATATATCTCCCATACATACTTTTTTTGTTTGTTTGTTTGTTTGTTTGTTTAATTTCTTACAGTGCTAGGGTGTCGAGTTCCTTGTGACTAAGACATTCACGGTCACTCCAGGGGAACTGGGCTGCACAAAATAACCACATAAGAGACAGAGATACCTTTTCCTTTGGAGTCCTGTGATGGGTCCTCTGACATTAAGGGTTCTGAGAGAGAGAGAGAGAGAGAGAGAGAGAGAGAGAGAGAGCATGTGCTGAACACTTTTATTGGGGAGAAGCCATTCAAATGAGGCAAGGGGTCAAGTTTCAGGGGCTGACTCTACCTTCCAGATGTCTGCCGTCAGCGGGTTGACTGACATCTTGGAAGGCCACACCCAAAGGCAGAGCAAGAGAAAGGGACACACAAAGTGTTTCCATGGAACATTCTATCCAAAACAGGGCAAAGGGGTAATAACACAAAGGAACAGGTGAGCGTAGCTCAATCCATGGGGCAACAGGCCTGTGTCTGAAGATGCGTCCTCAAACTTCCAGAACCAGTCAATGTCCAGGGCACTCCGAGATGTAGTGACAGTCAAAGCCTCTCTGGCTCAGAGAAGGAGAATGCGAATCATTCAGACTGGCTCCCCACACTAGGGATGGGACCCAGGGCCTCATACAAGCTAGGCAAGTTCTCTACCACTAAGCTATAATCCCAGCCATATGCATTATTTCAAAAAATACCAATCTCTCTATTTATGTTTGCAGTTCCAGGGATTGAACCCAAGTACCATTTTACTACAACCACAGTCCTTTTCCTTGTTTCTTTTGAGACAGGGTTTTCTTGAATTTGAGACCCTCCTGCCTCATCCTCCCAAGTCACTGGGATTCTTGCTTCCAAATACATTACATTTCATAGAAAGCACCTCAATTTAAGTATTCCTTATTGATGAACATTTAGATTGTTTTCAGTATTTCATCATTATTAACAATACTACAGCTGGTCGTGGTGACACACTCCCTATAATCCCAGCACCTTGGGAGGCGGAGGTCAGCCTCAGCAACTTAGCAAGGCCCTAAGCAAGTCAGTGAGACCCTCAGTGAACCACTTAGGATGTGACTCAGTGGTTTACCACCACTGAAATCAATTGCTGGTAGAAGAAAAAAATCTGCAATAAATGTTTTTGTTTATTTTTGTGGGATGATCATGTATTAAAACAAAGATTGGGGAAGAAGAAAGACATTGGGAAAGGCAGAGAGGGAAGAAGGGAGGAAAGCAGAAGAAACTTTCCCACTGTTAGACATTTACATTGTTTTGACCTTTTGCTATTGCAAATAGAAAAGCAAGAATAGGCCGGGCACAGTGATTCACGCCTGTAATCCCAGCAGCTCAGGAGGCTGAGACAGGAGGATTGCGAATTCAAAGCCAGCCTCAGTAACATCGAGGCACTAAGCAACTCAGTGAGACCCTGTCTCTAAATAAAATACAAAATAGGTCTGGGGGTGTGGCTCAGTGGTTGAGTGCCCTTGAGTTTAATCCCTGTTACCTGCCCCCCCCCCCGACCCTCCAAAAGTCAAGAATACTTAGCTGCAAAACTAGGTGTGGTGGCACATGCCTGCAATACCAGCAGTTCAGGAAGTTGAGGAAAGAGAATCACAAGTTCGAGGCCAGCCTCAGCAAACTTGTCTCAAAAAAAAAAATTCATAAATAAATAAATGGCTGCAAAGTAATTAGAGGTGAAAAATATTTTAACTGTAGAAAAAGATTTTTTTAAAAAATGATGTAAGACTGCACAAAGACTCTCATCCTTTAAAATAAAACCCACTGAGGCAAAAATCATGTTTGACATGGCCAAAAATAAGAGCCCCTAAGGAGAGGGAGAGATTAAAAACAGGAACTAGGGGTGACCTCAAGGTACCAGAGAAGAGTGAAACTGAGAAAACTGCTGGCAGCAGTGGGGACTGGCACTTGTCATTTGCCAGGTACAGTGCCAAAGATTCTCCCTGCCTGATTCCAATTGTTCCTTGAAGCAGAGGCACTGAGAGGTTGACTAGCTGCCGGAGGAGCTTAGGTGAGCTGGGCTCAGAGCCCTGCATGGTCTATGCACATAGCATTTACTCCTGAAATCACCCTGTGACATCCACGCCGTTAACCCCATTTTACAGGTGAAGAAACTGAGAAACAAGTCTGAAAAACAAAATGATTAAGAGATTTGCAACTCCTTCAACCAGCAAGTGCTGGAGATGAGATTCAGAGCCAGGCTATTTAAAGGCCAAAGACCAAGGGTAAGGATCTTCATCTGATGTTGCTTATGTATGAATAATCCAATGGAGGCTAGGTAAAAGAAAAAGAAAATAGGGGCTAGATACAGTCTTAAGGTGTGTCTAGGAAGATTTCAGAGAAGCAATATATTTGAGCTGGATCTTTAAAAAACTAAAAGGAAGCCAGAGGCCAAGTGCAGTGATGCACGCCTGTATTCCCAGCGGGTCCGGAGGTTGAGACAGGAGAATAGCCAGTTCAAAGCCAGCCTCAGCAAAAGCAAAGTGCTAAGCATGTCGATGAGACCCTGTCTCTACATAAAACACAAAAAGGGTTGGGGATGTGTCTCAGTGGTCAAGTGCCCCTGAGTTCGAACCCTGGTACTTCCCACCAAAAAAAAAAAAGCTAAAGGAAATAGGGACCCATCTCCTTCTCTCATACACACATCCATCCAACCTATCTATAAATGCAGTCATTTCCACCTTCAAAATGGACCCAGCATCTGACAACCAGGTCTTGGCTTCCAAATACACTGTCCCTGTAGGAACCAGGGCTCCTCCAAAAATGCCTGATTCCAGGGCTGGAGTAGGCAAAGCATGAGACAAGCCTGGAAAATCTTCTTGTCTCAAATAAGTGCTCAAAGAATAATAAAGACATGTCCAAAGGACAAGGAACCAGCTTGAAGGAGTTACAAAGCCAAAGCAGGGATACTTTGAGCATCAAAAGAAACAATGGGGGCTGGGGTTGTGGCTCAGTGGTAGAGCACTTGCCTAGCAAGTGTGAGGCCCTGGGTTCGATTCTCAGCACCACATATAAATAAATGAAAAATAAATAAATAAAGGTCCATCAACATCTAAAACAATATTTGAAAAATAAGAAAAGAAAGAAAGAATGGCAAGGCAGGCATGGTGACACACTTCTGTAATCCCAGAAACTTCGAAGGCTGAGGCAGGAGGATGGCAAAAATTTGTGGCCAGCCTCAGCAACTTATCGAGGGCCTAAGCAGCTTAGCAAGAAATAAGTGCATCAAAGAAGAAAAAAATTAAAAGGGCTGAATATGGGCTGGAGTTGTAGCTCCATGGTACAGCAATTGCCTAGCATATGTGAGACACCAGATTTGATCCTCAGCACCACATAAAAATAAATAAAATAAAGGTATTGTGTCTGTTTACAACTAAAAGTTTTTTTTGTTTTGTTTTGTTTTCTTAAGGGCT